TGTTGTGCGTGATGGGAGGAGGGGGGGGGGCGAATGGCGTCACCGTCCAATGGATCCCATCTGCCGACAGAGGAGAGCACAGGCGGCCCTGCGTTGCGGGAGACATCCAAGACGCAGATTGCGCGCAGCGAGGCGTCCGGCCGACCTCATCGCGGATGGGATTTTTTGGCAGCAGATGAAAGGAAGTTGGATTTCCTCATCGGCCTTTTAACGAGGGGAGAAGAAGAAAAAAACCCGACGCTTTGTAGAAGTAAACATCCCGTCCGTAAGATAAACACTGGAGCTGTAATCACTTGGTGCACGCGGACGAAACGCCGCGCTCCCTCCGTGATCTGACATAACCAGCGGCTGTCTCTAACCAGCTGCAGTCCCGGACGAGCCCCCACATCCCCCCTCCCCCAACACATCTCATGTCCTCGGCTCTCTCCGGCTTTCTCTCATCTTCTTGTTTAGGAAACTTCCAGCAGTGTATACATCCCGCGCTCTCCGCACTTGTCACGCGGTATTAAACGTGAGCCGCCCCATGCGTCCGCGGCAGGTTCCAAATCAACATCTGTGTGTGTGAGGGCGGGGGGGGTGCAGTGTAGCGCGGCCGACGTTGGTGCCAAAACTCGACACGGCAGGAAACTCGAGCGACGTTTTGACCAGGACGGAGAATCTTCAGGTTTGGGGGGTGAAGGCTACAGCCAGATGTATCGGCGCCGAGTCTGTAGCCGCGTACAGAGAGCCCGGGGAACCAAAGCCACGCCGCCATTTTTTAAAGGCGTCGTTCCCTTTTCCAAGATTCACAGAAATCTGCCAAATATGACTCGTAACCCACTGGTGAATCATCGGTGAAAAGAGGCTCCCCCCGTTGTGTGCCGCCATCTTCCCTCTCACACCGGTGGGCTGTCAATCACACCCTCTTAACATCACTGACTCCTCCCCCCTCTCCCATGACAGTCATATATTCTTGCCAGTTGCAGATGTCAGTAGGCGGGGGAGGGGCAAGAGATGGAGATATCAGATTAGCTGTTGACTTTTGTCAGCTATGCAATGCAGGCAGTTCATGGCTGGTGGGAGGGGCCAGCAGGCAGCCAGTGGGAGGGGCCGGCAGGGTGCTGTACATAGCTTCTTTACAACATCACAGCACCCTGCCTAGTACTCCTCTCCAGAACCCTAATGCAAGCAGTGGGCGGACTCCTGGGAGGAGTTATGCAAATATCAAAGTATCTTGATGGGTGGGTGTCAGTCCAGAGGAGTGGGCGGTCCTAGGCAGGCTTAATTTGCATGCAGACCCCCCCCCCCCCC